TTAATCGTTATCATAAAATGCTGTATATCATACAGAACTCGGAGTTTCATTTTAATGTTTTGTAAAATAGGTAATACAAATAACACGCGGAAAAGATAGCATAAATTATCCTTAATTGAACAAGCTCGTTACGACAAACTGTATTAAAAGGAATATGAAACATTCCGCTCCTAATCAATTTTAATCAAAATGTTATCAGAATATTATTTAACTCAGAATCTTTTACGAAGAATCGCTAAAGGGATTCTTTATTCGTTTGTTTCACTCATATTGATTCTTTTATCAACTATTGCAATATTCATTGCAGTATTTATTTTAATATTTATTCTAAATTTATTTATTCTTTCTATTATAAATATTGCTATCGCATTATTATTTCGAAAAATTATCAATAATGATAACAATGACAATAAATTTATGCCTGCAATTTTTAATAATAACAGGCTTTCAATTTCTTTTTTGCTTAATATCTCCAAAAAATTTTTTGATTTAACTGGAAACCGAATCTTTATCGATTCTATTATGTTTAGTCATCACTTAGAACTAATAATTACGTATTTATTTAAGTTCAATTTTAATCCTTATAAAAAAATTCATAAGGATGGTCAAGTTCAAGAAATTCATTTTACACATAATAATCGTTTTCCCCAATTTAAAGTTAGAAAATTTACAAACAAATCCCAAATTCCGATCTTCAAATTGTATTTTAATTTATCATTTGTTAACCTAACATTATATAAATATAGAAACCAAATAAGTGATATGATAAAATTTCAGAATATCTCTACATTTTTTTTTCTTGCTGAATCAAACAAATTCCTCAATTCTGAGAATTATAAATTAAAAAAAAGAGCAAAAACGATCTCTATTCAATTCTATTTTAAATTTTATAAAGCAATTTTTCCAACTCCAAATGAAAATAATATAAGATTACGACATAATGATTTTCCATCTGCTTTAGAAAGCAAGAATCGGGCTGATGATGACCAAGTAGAAAATCTAGAATATCAAACTGTTTCCAAAACTGTTATTTCTGAACAATTAGTTGTTGAGAAGAATGACAGAAAAATTTGTAATATATATAAAAGAGATCCATTGGACATATTGCCAACTTGAACTGAGAATCATATATTTTTGCGACATGATGGCCCTAAATCGGCTTTAGAAATTATAGAATTGGCCAAAGAGCAAATACAAAATCTCAAACATCGACCTTTTTCTAAACAATCAGTATTAGTTGAAAATTATAAGGTTGAAAATGTAGACGAAGAAAATTATATAATTTTTAAAGTAAAATATACTATTAAAGAATTTTGCGAATATCCACGTAAAGTAAACAACAGATTTAAAAAACAAATGAAAGATATGTTAAATGAGGTTCAAGAATTACAAAAAGATATAGAAGAATTAGAAAATTTTTATTGGTATATAGATTATGGAATGTTTATAAACCATGGTGATGTCTGTTGTCGCTATTCTTAAGGCTATTGCTTTGTATTAATGCCTAGTCTCATTATTGAAACATTACCCACCTTTTCCAAATTAGCTAAATAATTTGCTTAATTCTAGTGCTTATTATTGATCGGCTCAAAAGAGAATTACTCTGAAAAGTTTCACTAGCAGTCCTAACCAATGAAAAAATCACATGAATTTATCAAATACCATCTTCCCTTGTCAAAGAACAACTGAATGTTTATAATCTAGTAGAGAGTGGAGCTATCGTTTATTCTAGTTTAGGAATTTATAGAAAAAACACAATCGATAAGTATCTTTTTAAAGTCTTTACTTATTTAATATACTTTGATCTAGTAGTAATAGTCTTTTCTTTAGGAACGTCATTCGTCTAGATTTTGCTATAAATGACTTTTTAAAGAGTCAATTATAGCAAATCCTAATATTTGCCATTCAAGACTGATATAGATGACAAGGCTCCGATTGACATTACAGTAATATTGATAAGATTTTTTGTTCAACATGACAGGTTGATTGTATTTGATAAATTTATGTGATTTTTTTTTTAGCTAGAACTGCTAGTGAAAAATTTTCATAGCAATTTTCTCTCGAGCTTTCAATAATAAGAACTAGTGTTAAGCCATTTATTTAGTCGAGATTTACTCTACTTTATTAAAAAATCAACCCTTTTGTTGAGATTTACTCTACTTTATTAAAAATCAACCCTTTTATATTCTACTAATTTTGACTCTTAAATTAAATCAGAATTTCAAAATTATTCATACTGTATAAATGATTAATTTGTATAAAAATAAATATATTCAAAACAATTCTTTTGAATTTATAAAAATGAATTATAAGAATTTCTTAATTCAATAATTTTTACTGATGTACTTTTGTTATCCTCTGTCTTAAATCAGATATGTTGAATGTAAAGGTGTTTCTTATATTATAAATAGTCAGGTTTTTCATTTCGTATTTTTAACTTCATTTTTTTTGCTTGCTGAGGATTTAATTGTTTCACCACTCCCAGATTTAGCTGTTAAAATCATATCTGATTCATTGTATGTTACTTGATTGAGTTCAAAAGTCGTATTGTAGTTCGTTGTTTTACTGAAATGTTGTAATTTAACTGTAGCAAGACCTGCTTCTGTTTGTTTATCCGATTTTTTGAGAACATTTTTAAATTTGATATTTGCCTGTATTTTTTCTGTAAATGAAATAGTAAATCCTTTTGAACATCTAGATATACGGATGCCATTGAATTTTCTTCTTTGTTTAGTGAAGCTATAAATTTGTATAAAAATTGATTATTGTAGAAAGTGAGGATTTTTGAACGAATTTAAATTTTATTTGATAAAATGTTACAATAAATTTGTATAAAAATTGATTTTTGTAGAAAGCGAGGATTTATGAACAAATTTAAATTTTATTTGATAAAATGTTATTATAAATTTTTTAAAACAGAACAAGTATACAGAAAAGTTAACTTTGGATTAAGAGTGCCCTTTTATAGCAAGCTCGATAATAACTTTTTATATCTTCAATTATAAAAAAACTGGTTTATATAATCGCAGGTATATATTAAAATATGATATATTGATATCAACTGAATTTTGTATAATACAAGGCGAATGCACAGCATTGTGTGTCCAGTTATAATATACTAATTATTATGAATCATTAACAACACGTATATTGAATTAAATCTGATAATTCTTATATTTCATGCCGAATTTATTATGTTAAAATAATAAAATAAATTCGGTTCTGAATTTTAATTTATTTGTACAATTAGAACAAAGCACGTTCTAATACGCGTGCTAAGCCTCAAATGCTGCGCGATAATGCACATTTGCGAAAAATCAGGTCTCGAAAAATCAGGTCTCAGCTGTAAAAATTTTTTGGATCAAAAAGATTTCTGCTATTAAGAGAGCTGTGCAGAAGTTGAAAGTATTTAAATTATGATAAAAACATTACTGGGAATCTAATTTACAAAATGGATATCTTTTTCACTATTTTTATCCTCAAAGCTTTTATTTATATTTTTCATATTTTTGCTCCTTTTGCTCTTATTTTCTTTAATTTTTATAATGCCTCTAATGCCGAAGAAAGCAATGCTGCTGATTATGATGATTCAATGTTGGTTATTAAAGTGGACGACGATGAAGAAGAGTCAAATAAATCAAAAAATAGACTGAAGGAGACTATCATCAACTTAAAGATTCAGCAGAATGAAAAATTGAAAGAAGAAAATGCATGACTCAAGAAAAAAATAAACAAAAAAAATCAAACCATTCAATGAAGCAGAAAAGAAATTTTGGACCTTCAACAAAAAGTTAAACAATTACTCCTTAAACAAAATTGTAAACGAAATATACTCCTCAAACAAACAATTGGACATGAATATTTGCTCCTAAATCAAGAAAATGAACGAATCAAAAAAGATAAAGTCGCAAAAATAATTGATCGAATAAATTCAAACTGTATCATAAGAAATCGGACTTTAAAAGAAAGATAATTTTGGCAAATATAGAGATAAAAAGTCTGTTAGGAAAATTGAAATCAATCAATCCATCATTAGTCAACGAATGGAATCAATACTTTGAAAACAGTAATAGTATTGAAAGTATTGAATTTAATATAGGATACCTTGAAAATTATATATATAACTAGTTATCAATTCAAAAACAAAATTCGATGTAACTTGTAAATTGTAAATAATTTGAAATTCTTGAAATATGGGGCTATCGTCAATAGAAATCAGGAGATTAACATTTTAAAAAAAATTAATGCCTTATCTTTCACAGCTAATATCTCGTGAATTTCGAACCTATTATTATCATTTAATAGCTAAAGGAAAGCTGAAGATCTGAGCTTTCTTTTATCAATTAAATGATGACAATAGCTTCGAAATATTAGCTGTGAAAGTTAAGGTACTGGTTTTTTTTAAAAAAAATGATAATCCGCCTAATTTTTCAATATATTTATTTTATTATTATTATTATTATTATTATTATTATTTAAACAAATGTATCGTAGCTCCCCATTTTTTTGTCTCATCATAAAAATTGTCTAATGACGTTCAGAATATAATTACCGTTTTTTTTAAAAAAATGATAATACGCCTGATTTTTCAAAATAAATATTATTATTAATATTATTATTATTATTATTATTATTATTATTATTATTATTATTATTATTATTATTATTATTAAATAAATGTATCGTAGCTCAAAATGTGATTCTATAATTCCAAATCTAATTGCCTTGAATATGATTTTAAAAAACCCAATTTTTTTTATTTACACTCATAATAAAAATTTTCTAATGACGTTCAGAATGTAATTTTGCAACAATAGTTAAGGTCTACATATTTGATAGAGAATTCTAAGAGGCAAAGCTAAATTTCGAATCTCTATTTGTAACCATGTTATTTTATTATTATAGTATATGCAAATGGTAGACATTCATATGATTGGTTAATTTTGTAGATCTACCTGTGATTTCTCGTGATAATTAACCAATAATAACTTGAAGAAAGTTTTGAAAAATGCAATAATACACATAGTCGCTTCGCTTCTAAGTAAAGTCCTCAGTTTTTTAGATTATTTTTAGATTATTTCCTAAAAAATTTTTTTTATAAGTACAACAGTAAAACGTTACAATCTGAAAAAGTACTTTAAACTGTATAAATTAGTTACCCGGGCAATTGATTTGAATTAGACAATCAGATATAAGTCCTCCTATGAGTTTTTAAAGCGTACCTTGCATATCGTTTTTATCCAATAATAAGATAAACCGGTATTATTTATCAGCTAATTTCTAACTGTGTTTTATATATACATACATATTGTAAATTCTAACTAAATGCATATGATTCTTAGTAAATAGTGTGATACTGCATTAAAATATGTTATGTATTCTTTTCGTGTATGTATTATAAAAACATATAATCAGTAGATATTTTAATCAGTAGACACCACTAATGATTCTTATTGGTAAATACAAAAATACCGGATTATATAAATCGAAGCATAAATATAAATGTACTGTACTGAACGTACTGTACTAATATCAAAATCACTGATATTATATTTGTATAATGAATAGATCTTCTTTAGTATAGGTGAGCAATATAAGAAATAAGCTTCGCTAATAATTAGTAATCATTAGTTTTTTAATAGCGGAGTTGCAGGGTTAGCAGAGTTTGCCTACCTATACTAAAGAAAATCCTAATGGGATGAAATATTGATCAATAACTATTTACTCTAGGCCAAGAGAAAGAAGGATGGGGACCCAGACCGAAAAATCCTCTCCTTCCATGGGGTGTAGAAGCGAGCAAGTGTAATTGGTGCTCAGTAGACAAGAAATATTGTTATTGTGGCTCTACTGCTTGAATTATGAGATATAAAATTGTCTATTTTGTTGTGTCTTTCAACTAAGACCGATGTTGATATTTTTAAATAGTGTTATCAATTTATGCAGCTAAGAGGTCACCAGGAAGATAATCATTCTATCAAGAGGTTTTTATTCAAAAAGCGAAATAAACATTGTGTTCATGTCCTAAAATAGAATCTTTATGATGAAAAAATTCCCAGTTTTATAAAATTACTATTATGCAAATTTCACACATAGTAAAATTTCGCTATGATGAACCGTACCTAAAGAGCAGATCGGCACGAATGAAAAGTATTTTTTCAGTTATCTTAGAGGTGTGGGATATACAGTCAAACCTCTCTATAGTCACACCATCGGGATACAAAAACCTGTGATTGTAAAGAAGTGTGACTAATATAGAGGTATTTTCTATATAATTATAGATAATTAGTAAAAATAAATTTGTAATTATATCAATTTTGTGACTGTAGAGGAGGTGACTATAGAGAGGTTTGACTGTATATATGGGTGCCGCCAAGAGAAAACCAGGAATTCTAAAAATAGACTTCCATCCACAGCGAAGTTGCGGGGTTTTTTAATCGGTCAATGTAATAACATCGTGTTATTACATTGACCGATTAAAAAAC